AAAAAAAAAAAAAAGAAGAAAAGATAAAACAAAGGATATTTCTTAAATCTAACCTCCTTTAATCTCTCCGAAGAAATATCTTGTTCCGCGAAAGCGGCTAACGAATAGAGATCATGGATCAGGAAATCTTCGACTGCGAAGGGTTCATATGCAAAATTAAACATTTAGAAGGACCAAAAAATGGAAAAAGAAGGGAAGGAAAAAATTTCTTTTGGGGGAAAATAAATAGACCTGAGAAAATTCCATGAGAAGCGCAGAAATTTAGGAAATTGGAGTCTATAATCGTATAGTCTCGCTCTAGATTTTTCAACGGCGCCATTTTTGGTCTAAACTAGAGAGACCAGAGGCAGAAGAAGGAGTTGGTTTTTCGCGCGCGCGGGATTGATTTAATTGAAAGAACGTGCCCATGAGAGTACCAACGCCTCGGGCTCAAAGCCCAAAACTCAATCAAACAAACCCAAAGAGATACAGAAGAGCCTAACATCTAAAAATGAATAATAAAATCATAATTTTATTTTTTTATGAAAAATATCATTATACTTTCGTGTAAATTCTATTTATCGTATTTCAATTTTTTCACATTTTTTCCTAGTTAGTTTTTTTTTAATTAGTATATGAAAATAACTTCTATTCTCACAATGGGATAGATTGTTAACTTTTTCAATAAAATTACAAAAATAAAAAAGTATAAACAAATAGGAGATTATATATATATATATATAAATGGGAAAGAAACAAATAAAAAAAATTACATCATTTTAGTCCAAACAGCTCCTAAATTATAAGCAAAAAGACATGTAAATATTCCATGTGGAGGGACTCAAATATAAGAAGTTTCAAAGGTAAATCTTCATGATGTGTAGTAAGCTAATTTCTACAATGATTCAAAATAGACGTGAGAAATTGAAACATCTCAATCCCTCTAATATCCCTTAGAAGATGTCGATTTGAATCATGATTATTACTTGACTAGCAATCTTCTATATAGCTAACAAAGAGTCCAAAATCAACCTATATTTTTCTAAAACCCTTATTCTCCTTGATAAACTATCCAAAGTTTTGCTGGCAAAGAACAAAAAAATACTGAATTTATAGGTAAATCCCACTATCCAATTGCCAAAAAAATAGATGAATTTTGAATCCAAAGTACTTTGGCAATTTCATTCAACAAAATTTACAACTTAGCTTAAGCGGAAATAGAAAGATACTAATTGAAAAGGGCCTAAGTACAATTTATCTTACGTTTATTAAGACTATTCTATTACCCATTAATTTATTTTTAAGCAAATTATGATTTACTTCGTTAAATTTTTTTCTTTTTTTTTTTTGGTTCTACAATTTTGTTCTATTTTATAGCAAGAGGGAAAAAAATTGCTTCACTTTCAAGTTTTGAAAGCAAAAAACCAAAAAACAAAGAACAAAAGAGCCAATATGACTTGAATGTAATTTTTTTCCAATTTTTCATATTGTCGAAACAATATATATAACAAAAGATTGTATCTTTAGCCGGGAGGAGCCCACTAAATTGTGAACTTGGTAGAAAGAAAAGACATAATTGCGGAAAGGTAAACCATTAACTCATATGTGAAAAGTTAAACCATGTTTGATATCACATCATCCACCGACATAAAGAAAAATCCAGTTCAGAATCACATTTATTGGAATTCCTATCCTTGTACTACTAGCCTGAAAGGAAGCTTTGTTTCTTCATTTTGGTGGTGGAAAGAAGATGGCATCCGAGGTTCTCTTGGAGCGGAAAAGCTTCTCTGTCTCATCAGGAATGTTGAAAGATGCCCTAAGCACTTCAGGAGAGAGAGCCTTCCAAGTCCCAATGCTTCCAGCCAAATGGGTGAATACAGGGCTGGGAATCATAGAAAAACAAGAAGAAATATATCAGAATTAGACAACAGTTGAATGTCAAAGAATTGAAAGTTGAAGCCTGGGATCAGGAAAGAATTGACTTACTTGGGTGTAGTGATGATGGAGAACCATGACAAACCATCTGGATCAGCAATCTTCGAAACGACAAAGAACCTTGGTACAATCAACAGATTGCCGGCCTTCACAATGGTTTCCAGGACCCTTTTGCCATCAACGCCGACAACCTGGAGACGGCCACTGCCCTTAACAATGTAAGTCACCTGCAGTGCTGAATCACAGGAAAAACCAGGGGAGCACATTGCGTTTCCTTCCAACCTGACAAGATCAGCACCAAGCCCAACCTGACCGACCAAAGGAAGATTTTTAGTATTCAACACCACCACGTTGCCAGCATTCTTAATATCCGTATCTAATGGCGCTTCCTCACAGTTCAAAACCAATCCTTGTCGGTGTTCTGGCTTTGGCTCAGGCATCTTGACATTTGCATCAAGCTTGACAATGCCTTTGCCTGTTTGCTTCCCGAGAAGGGCCTTGACGGTGTCATCATCCACATCCCATGCCCGTTTCACAAACTCAGTTGTGAAGCCAGTGAAGATACCGTTGGAGCCCGTCAAAAAGAAATCAGTAAACTGACCAGCTTTGTGGCCTTTTGAGGTATCGCCCAGAAAGAGCACCACCAAGTCAGTGTCCTCCTTGTTATACCACCAGGTAATAACACCAAAAGGAAGAGCAATAGCATCACCCTTCTTAATTGCAATCACTTTCTCTTCTGATTCAGGAAGGACAATTCCAGCAACACCAGCTCCTACATAAAGTCATACCAAGGAGCTAAGTCAGTGAAGAGATCAAACATAAAGATGGAGATTGATTGCAATATTTCGATTACAGAAACAAAGACTATGAATTGCTTGCAGAAACAAAATTTCGATTCTGATATATTGCCTATTGGTATTTCAATTAGACCAAAAATACAATTTGGGGACAGAAACCACATCCTGTGCCATTCTCAGTGATTACTGATGTGGAAACCCATTAAACAAAGATTTGTCCGTGTAAAACAGTCTGTTCCTCAATAAAACAATAAGAAAAAGAAAGGACTTTTGGACTTAAATAAATCATCCTTGGCCCTTTCACAAGCAAGGATTGATTTGATGTAGAACTAATATTCCACATCAAAAGGAGAATAATTAAAAATATATATTAAGTTGTCAACTTGTCATTTCCCTACCAAAGAAAAGCAACACAAAAAAGAACAAAGAATAAAAACAGAGAGCAGATTCCATACGGGAAAACCACATCCCAAGACATCAAACATCAAGAATAAGGAAAATCAAGTATTCTGGTAAACTCCATACCCAAAAACCATTCCTACACAAAATCAACTCCTTTCTTTTCACTTCCCCAGGAAATGAATCCATACAAAATTCAGATAATATACACTGAACAACATAAACAAGAAAAAAACATATTTTGATCATATCCCACCTTTGATCATATATCATAAGTCAACAAAAATTAAAAGAAAAACAGATTACAGATAAAGCAGACACCCCAACCAGAAAAAGTTACGGGAACATAGAGTCAGACAAAAACCCAGAAACATAAACAGAAAAAAAGAGACAGATTTGCAAAGATATTACCTTGAAGAACATAAGCAACCTTGGAAGAATCAGAGTAACGAGGAAGGGCAAAGCCATCCTTTTCGAGCGCCAACTTGGCTGCACCGATGTTGCCTTGCCGCAACATAGGAAGTTCATCGGGACACCAAGCATGGTAGCTACCACCATTTTCACCGTACACTTTCTTGGCCAACTTTGGAGTAAGATCAATATCCATCTTCTTCCTTTTTCTAGCTTCAGCAAAAACAACCCAAATCCCAGAATCAAATGAAATTCTACAATTATCAATCTACTACTGATTTTCTGGAGTGTAACGCTGAGGGAGTGATAAAGAGTATTTATAGCAGTCAAAGGGTCACATGATTATATACAGATAAGGATTACCAACAGAGAGGGATTCTGAATTAGGATATCAAATTAATGGATAAAGAATGGAAATTAATTGTGATTACGTTGAAGATTTTCGTTGTTTCTTAGTGGGATTCTTATTCATAGTATCAAGTTTAATGGAGCAAAAAAAAGGGAACCTTTTTCAATGCCTGTTAATGTAAATTTGACACGTCAGGGATGAAGATAATTAAGAGATTGGATCGAAACTAATTACTATGTAGGTGAGATTCTTAATTACTATGTAGGTGAGCAAATTAGATAATCTTTTTATGGTTTTTAAACTCTAAAGTAAATAATTAGTAAATTAATCTAGAATTTATATTTACAATATTACCCATATATAAATTTTTTACACTATTAATGAATCCAATGTTCTATCTTATTAATAAATTAATGAGTCTTGGAACCTAAAAGTTAGATTTAGAAAACTCATTATCAATCTTTCTTTATTTAGATATAATTGACACTCGTGAATTTATTTTTTTTTAACAAGTTTTATTTAGGTATTAGCACCTTCACAACACCCTAATTAGTCCTAGTTCCCTATTCAATTTTACATGTAAGTCTATTTTTTCACCTTAATTATTACTTGAACACCTAAGTGAATAAATTTTTTCTAATAAGTTTTATTTAGGTATTAGCACATTCACAACACCTTAATTAGTACTAGTTCAATATTCAATTTTATATCCTTTACCTATGCTTTTTATTATTTTTTGTTCCAAACTCTTTTGACATAATTTTGGAAGATTTAGATTTATTACTGGAGAATTTTCATAAATTTATTTATGCAAATTCTTAATTTTTAAATGACAAAAAAATCAAATCAAAATCATAATTAAAAAAATTAATTCAAAAGTTATTAAATTAAAAAAACACTTTAATAAGTACTAAATATCAATTGAACTAATTTTAATATAAAAAAATCAATTAAACTAATTTCAATATAAAAGAAAATAAAAGACAACTCACCTAGTTCGCAAACCTAAATATGAAACCTAAATACCAATCGCAGCGTTTCTCCTAGATTTAGAAAAAATCAAAAGCCAAAACCCAAAGAACTCAAATATTATTTTCTCTGTTCTGTCTCTTCTGGGTATATTTATAGTCTATGTGTTTTATTCTTTTTTAAATTGGTTTTTTGAGTTTTGATTTAATGTAACTTAATATCCCTTTTAATTTTCAATCTAAGTTAATACTTTTTAAATTTTCAAGTTCATATAGAATTAAGATTTATGTAAATTTATTTACCTTTTTCATGTTTATCTCTCTCTCTCTCTTTTTTTTTGTGTTTTTTGCTTAATTTTTATATTTTTAAAATTCTATAAACACCTTAGACAAATTGAAGTGTCTACTACGTTTAAATATTTATATACATATATATATATACACACACTATTAGTGAGCCACGTAAAAATTATATTTATAGTTATTCTTGGATTATGTTGACAAATAAATAAATTTGAGTCCATTTCAAAATTATTAAATGAGCAATTCTAATCTTGGTTTTGTTAAATAATAATAATAATAATAATGTAAGATAAACGGCAACGTACTCAAAAAAAAATATTATCTTATAGTTTAATAAAGTACTTAAAGTTTTAAGGATTTGTTACTTTGGTCAAAAAAAGAACAAAAACTGGAATTGTTACTTTTTTTTTTTTGAATTGTTACTTGGTTATAAGAGATATTTAACGAAAGATTGGCTGTCATTTTCAATTTTATCAAATTTATCCTATTTTAGTAGTAATTTATTTTTTCTTTGTTGGTTAATTTGTAAAATAAGACACCCCATGTATTCTCATGATAAATGAATTTTGATTATTTGAATTTGGTTCTAGTTTGTAAATTTATACATTATTAAAATGATGAAATAAAAATTTAAATAAAAAAATCCAATATCCTCATTGTCAGTTTTGAGAATTTAGTAAATGGTATAGTATTTGTTATTTTTGAAGTATCTTTATAAGTATCCGATCAAAATTTTAAATTATTACTTAAATACTTTAGATACTATTCATTAAATATTTGATTAAAATAAATTTTTATGTATATTATAAATGAAATTTAAATTAATTTATAAAAAAATTAAAGTTAAAAAAATGAAAATAGGAATGAAGTTTTTAGCTTTTTGAGAAAAACTACGAAAAAAGTAAAAGGCCTTTGAACTTTTACTATTTGATCCAGGTGACACAGCTTTGCTCATGACAAATAAAGGTTATCCATGTGACACAGTTTTGTTCATAAAATATAAGGGGAAAAAGGTCGAAATGTGGCTGCTGGGATTCGAGCCCAGGTCTCTACGGCCACAACGTAGAATTCTCACCACTAAACTACAGCCACTTGGATGTGAACGGGCGTGATCCACACACACACCAATACATGACAGATAGAATTCAAGTACTACACAGGCAACGACTTCGTTCTCTTTCGTCGTTGATAAAAGAATTTGATAGCTTTAGAAACAAATGAAAATGGAATTCACATCATTTAGAATTTACCTTATATTTTCCTAATTTCATATTTGATCTATAAGTTGGGTGGGAATTTGTGTATAAAAGAGTTAAAAAGAGAGGAAAAAAAAATTAAGAACAAATTGTTCATAACATTGTATTATGATTTTTCAACCAACTAAAACGATGACCTTCATTACTCTTCTTTTGGCCTTTGCTTCCCTACCCCCTTGTTCAAACTTGAATCGGATATAATGCAAATTAAGAGACTTCAATGAAAGGCAACCTGACCAAATCAATCAACTTTAATAATTTTCTTCAATTCTTTTTCTATTTCAAATTTGGATAGAAAGACCTACAATTATATGCTTGAGCAGTTGCATATACATCTAATTCCTTTTAGTAAAACAAAACACAGAAGAAAAGAAAAGGGTGTAGGGTGGACCAAGAGCATTTCGGTGCTTTAGTTGACGTGTAGTTCATCATTCATATCCTTGCAGAAGAATGTAGTGTCACTATTTTAAATT